AGGCGCCCACTCGAGGGACGCACCACGACGAGTTGGAATTGAAATATTCTGATATGAGGCGAACCCTAGCTCCAGACCGAGCCGCGCCTCGCCCCACCTCGCCCCGCCTCGCCCCGCCCCGCCCCGCCCAGCCCCGCCCGGCACCAAACCCCAACGACACACGAGGCGCCAGAAAACGGCGATCAAGATAGTGATTGCGCAGTAAAGCCCTGGCAATAAAAAGGAGGGGTCCCCACCGGGCCCCGGGCTGGGGCCCAGCCCGCCCAGCCCGCGCCGGGGCGCGCTGAGGCACGCATCCCACCCTGTGTTCTCAGGACTAGCAGCACACGACACACACAAGGGAGGGAGCAGCGGGAGGGAGGGGTGACGGGGGAGCTAGGGTTGAATGAGAGGATTGACACATTGTGTGGCTCAGCAAGAGCGTACTCTTCTACAGACAGGTACGTTCGTGTCTCAAAAAAGAGAAAGAAACATTACGTGCAACTGCAAAATCACAAAAATTGACAAAGCCATTCTAACGATGATCTCATAGGTGCAGAGGAACATATGAATTCACTTATTTGCTGTAGATTGATTTCTGACGGTAAAGATGCCAAAATGTACCCTACCCCAAGTAGCAGAGAATTGTCAGAAATTATCACATTGATTTCAATTATTTGTCAAATATACCCTAGCACTGTCATATGATTTTTTCCATTGATTATTATGATGATTTGACAAGGTGATATAACTTGTGTGGCACGATAATATTCCAGTAATGTCAATATTAATGTAAGAAAACATGTCACAGTGACAGGATATGTTGTGACAAATAATCTATTTCAATGAGATAATTTGGGACAGTTCTGAGTTACCTACAAGAGAACACACAATGATAATGTATCTAAAACTCTGAATAAAGGTGAGGACAAATTCCTTAAACACAGGTTCTGATTTAGAACAAAAACGATTATCTGCGACAATTGCGTTAAACGAAGACAGAACGATGACAGGCCCGGAAACAAGTAGTAAATCTGAGCAAAAACGCATACTAATGTGGGTTGAAGGTCATCCAGGATTTCAGGACTTGTGCGAGGTCAGGGAACAATGTGACATGTATGTAGGTAACCTCACTAATCTAGCAGACTTACCTCGAAATGTGAGAATTGAAGAGCCAAGACATCCTCAGGTAGGTCACAACTTCAAAGCCGTAAGATGACTTTCCTCTGACAAAAGGTGTCACAGCAGAACTTTCGAGGTTAGTGGTTGAGGGTATGCGCACTCGCCGATCACGTTTAGAGTTCGATTGAATGAGTGGCATTCTACTACCTGTGAGTAAGTACTCCAGACAGACTCCGTCGTAGAAGTTAAAACAACACCACATTACTGGTTGTTTTAAGAGTTAAAAATACAAAACAAACACGCGCAACACGATTCGCAGGCCGCCGCCATCTACAACGTCGCGATCGCTCTACTCAGTTCACACTACTGACTACTTCACTCGACCGCCGCCAGATGGCGTCCGTCGTTCAGTCGTCCCTCCTTTTTGGTCATTCCCCAATTCCCCACTGCGTTTCTAGCACAAAAGGAACTAAAAGGATTTGGATTGTAAAACCCGAATAGAATTCGGACTGAACAACATAGAATATCGTATACTTCTTTTTAATTAAATTTTAAATGTTGTCTATCATGATACAAGAAAATACTGAGAGCCTCCCGAGAAGCACTCACTTAGCGTGTGCTGAGAAGAGCGAAAGATTCCTTTGATTATTTTGTATTATTCACATTTATTATTTTTTGGTGGGAGAGTATGCGAAAATATGCAGCCGCCTGATGTGAGCCCGCCCCGCGGCTGTCCCGCGCAGCCCGCCCGGTCCCGCGTGTTTGAGGAGGGGGCGCGCTCCCGCCCGGGGCCACGCCCCGCCGCTCCCGGGAGCTGCTCCTGCTGCCGCTCCCGCCCGCTCCGGGCGGGCCAAGGGCTCGACTCGTGCTCCCAGTACTTCGCCTCACTTCGCTCCACTCCAGTGGCGCGAGATCGCCGCCAGCCAGAGGTTGATGATGCCTGTTCACGTCAGGATAGGAGACGTGTGTGTGGGCGCCTCTGCCGCCCCACATCCCAATCTCTCCCTCCTTCTCGCTCGCTCTCCTTCCATTCCTCCTTCCTTCCATTCCTTCCTTCCGGACAGTTTTTGCAAACTCCAATCCCAACTCGCCTTTTCAATCCTCCTGCCTAAGGGCGGTCGGCGGTGGCCTCGCGACCTCCACCCTCCTCCGCCCTCCCTCCCCCCTCACCCTGAGGGAGTCACTGGGGTGGGCGTCCCTTATACGCACTAAAGCCGGGTTACGACGGCGCGTCCTCCTCGTCCCCTTCCACCCTGTCGTCGTCCTCCTCGTCCTCCATTCGTTCGCACCTCCTTCCTTTTGCCTTGTATATGTATACTCTTTTTCCTCCGCTCCTTTTGACCTCCGCTTTTGCCTCCACCGTCGCCCACGCATGGTATCCGCGGCCCTCAAGACGTTCCTCGTCGATCACCGTCCCCGATGACGCCCTGCCCGCCGCCCCCGCCTCGTGTATCCTCCCCCGCAACGCCCCACGGGTCGCCCTCTCCCCGGCCAGGCCGGAGACGAGGCGGGAGGCGCCTCCTGTTTCCGACAAGGATGTTAGACATGAACACCCAACACCGTGGGAATTCCCCGGCGCCGCTGCCCGCCCTTTTTCGGCGTGTTGATCGTAAAACATCACAGAAAGGGATAATTCGCTGGCGGGACGGCAAGAGGAAAACGCGCTCGAAACGCGCGGCGGCGTCAGGGCGGGGCGAGTTGCGCCGAGAGAGAG